AAATACATAATATAAGATATATTTTTAATGTATTCTCGCTGAGATTTATGAATGTAGTTTCAATACCAACTATGCTTAAACATAAACTATCTTTATATATAATTTCTTCTGTACTGCCGTCGAATTGGATCTGATTTAAGCACGACACTAAGCCTGACTGATTAGGATTTGCGGTTTAGGCTGCATACAATTCATAATTGAGGTCATATTGCAATTATACCATTATGTTTGTGGCTTTTAAATATTGCTCTAAGGCTTTTGTATAATTTACCTTTGAAATGGTGTAAAAACTATTGCAAGTGCATTATCAGGTAGAACTGATTAGCTATGGTGTCGTTTCAGCTTCTCAAGATTGCTATTACTTTGTTGTGATATAAACTCGAATAAAAAACTCTCTCCGCAAGCACTCCGGGAGTGACGGCAGAAGTGAAAACTTGAATATTAACGTTGTGCATTTTTGATATTTTGGAATGGTTAGGGAATAATTTTGCACTATCGTGTACATTTATGTGGTAGAATACAATATTTATTTATTGTGCTATCGTACACAAACATGACAATTTATATTACATTAAATACGCCGCGCCAGCTGTCTACTCTTCATCCGTCTTACGAATTTTCGATCAGCCCTGCGATTCTGTAACTCACTTTTCGAACTCACACAGCGGTTTTCGCATCGGCGGTCGCTCTCAAATCAGTCGTGAAGCAGTCATTTTATGATTTGGCATTCTAATAATCAATAAACTACAAGCTCCACCTTTTCAGAATGCCAAATCATAAAATGACTGCTTCACGACTGATTTGAGAGCGACCGTCGATGCCAAATCCGCTGTGTGAGTTCGAAAAGTGAGTTACAGAATCGCAGGGCAGGTCACATGTCCTGACGCGAGTTTAAAATGGGTAAAAAATTTACCCATTCCAAAAAAAGTGTACAACGCCGCTAAAGAAGTTTTCACTTCAAAAATTGCTAATGAAATCCACAACACCAACTTTAAAACATACAAAGATACTTTTAACAAACTATGTTTAAACAAGTTATAATTAATAAACAAGACAAATTATGAAAACAATTAAACAAAGTCAAGCAATTAAACAAATTCGTTTCAAAAGTACATGAGTACGAATAGGGATAAAATGCGTCTGTGGTGTGAAGTTAGCAAAACCTGTTTCGCATACGACGGGTGTCCATTACGCACATAATAAAGTAGGACCGGAAGGGTTGGTCGTAAATCTTCGTAAACACTTGCTGGGTTACATCTAAATTCGGCCTTAATTCGAGTCGGTAAGGTTTATGTATTTTTTATCACACTTTAGAATTTTTGAAGTGAAGAAGAAAGAAGTTTTCTTTAGGCGCATGAGGGTAAGATTTTTACGGAACGTCACGAAGATATGCAGCGTTTTTGTCGAAGAAAAGGGATAGAGCGATTGAGACCGATTGAGGGAGAGTGAGAAAGAAGGGTGCATTACTTTATAGAAGTACTATTTTAAATATTAGCATTTCGTTAAGAGAATTTATTAAATATTAGTATTTTATATTTTATGCAAAATAATTTTATGAAATCTCAAATGAGGAATTGTAAATTAAATTGCCACGTGTTTTTATTATGGAAGAAATAAATTTAAAAAATTAAATTTATTATTTGTATTAATTTTTAATGACACTTAATTTTTTAATGACAATCATTAAATTTCTAACATATATTCGTTTTTCCCTCCCTCTAAGTCTCGGAAATCTAAAGTTTTAGATTTGTATAAATATGAACAAGACTTAAAAATTTGTTTGCCAAAGAAGTTTCACTTCTGTCATGTGTACGCACGCACTTTTTTTATCTATTTTAATACAATATCATTATAACAACCTATCTGAGACTTATATTAATTATGACATATAGAAACCCGAGACAAGAAGATGGCTGAAAAATATAAATTTCCAGAGTGTTATGTTCCATTTTCAAACTTCAAGCTTTAAAACATTCTGAGCGTACCAGTAATGCGATAATGTCAAACGATTGAGAGAAAAGTTTAACCAACTTTTGTCAGGTTTGTCAGTACATTTGTGCTTTTCAATTAAACTTTGTATTTATCTTTGACATATACATAATGTTATCATCATTTATCGGAAATATATATCCAAGTCTATAATGTTGAGGCTTCACCAATCTTATGTCATAGCCCTTGGCACTATCAGAACGCTCGCAACTGCTTTGCCGACCGTTTAACAATAAGGACGCTCTTTTCTTGAAAGTCAAATTGGTTCAGTTCCGGTAAAAACTTCAGAGGATAGCTGGTTCCACATTGTCGGGGTGTAAGGCAAGAAGTGCCTTCAAATAGTTCGTAGAACGACGCCGAGGTGAGGTGGTTAATATAAAACGAACGATGAAACGATTTTTAAAGACGTATTACGTTAGGTAGTGATTTATAACTTAATGGAATAACTATAAAACAGACCTGCTAAATGGTTTAGTAACAGATGATACTCTGCTCGTTAAAATACAATACTTTTTTTTTTCAAAGAGCGCATCGTCCAATCAGTCTTCCGTCTATGAGCAGATGAGTTGAAGGATGATTTGCGGGTGGAGATATTCCTCATTAGGAATATCTACCATAATAATATTAGCTCAGTCAATGCTGCTGAGCTCCAGGGTTCAAAAAGTATGATTTTCTGTCTACTTACAGCAATACGAGTATGCACTTTCTTAGATAAAAAGTCTATAATAGCTGATGATATCTCGATTGAGTGGGTTACAATAGAGTAACTGGACGCCCGAAGCTTCATAAACTAGGTCATATTTGTGAAGTGACACTTACCACAAGAAAATCGAGTTCGATCTCGCTTTAAGCAAGATATAAAGGGGAACAAACATTTATTGTGACATAGTGTTGCCAAAATATATCGCTTTTCGTACGAAATGTTGCTTTTATCTTCAGTTTGTTTTTCTGATGGCTTGTTTTTTCCGATGCTTTGAATTATAAATCTGGAGGACAAGTTATGTAGGTCAATTTTATATATATGTTTCGATTTATATAAAATGGGAGAAGAATTATAATGCTTCAAGCTGCTATTTCTGAATTACAGCTTGTAAAACTCCTCAATTACGAAACAGAAAATAATACGTGTAAAACGTACCTACTTTATACTCGATGCTTACATTCACCAAAATTCTAAGTAATAATTATTAATAGTGATTATGGTATAAGAGTAATTATGGCAACAGGTTTATTTATTTACTATATGAAATATTGGTATAAAATAATAAAACAGATTTACATACTAACAAGACCTTAGATCGAGTACGGGTATAATCTGTAGCAGTGAACAATTTAAATTTATTCCTTTATTTGTTTTTATAAAGAATAAATCATTTACGGAAGAAATAAATAAACAACACTTAGGCACTGCCATGAAAACTCAGTTAAAATGCAAATGTACTTAACCTAGATAAATAATTCCTAACAATAAGTATCATCCATCCAGTCTTTCGTTTCCTCGAAAGGCCAATTTCAATTCAGGAGTGACTTTTAAGCTTTGCATTTGCATACTAAGGGAAAATTTTACTATTCAAAAAGGAATTGAGCGAGTAATAAAAAGGAAATTATGAAAATATCGACCAATTAGTTTGTAATAACGGAATATAAGCCACATGTTTTCGGATAATTGGTAAGTCATAATGTCCGTGTACGACCTCCAATTTGCGGCTTAAAACCACATTGACGTCATACCTTGAATCACGCTACTAAAGTGCTTCCGCTGAGCATTTGAATAACATCTAGACCTCAACAACTGGGGCTTTCGGGCTGGGCAGTTGTTAGACATGTCGAGAACATTCCCCGTAGATTAGCGAAACAGTACACCTTCCATTCCTCCACACCTGTATCGATTAACAGAGAAGAAATAATTTCTGGTGTTGGAACACATTATCACGAGGGCTTATGATAAAACAAAAAGGTCAGCAGAAGACTCAGAAATGTGTACCACTGCCCCACTGACTGTTTATAGGACTTACACACATACACACTATTGCCGTTTATTTTAATAATAAAAATATCTTTGGTGTACATATAATTATAAGGTTTTATTTAAGCGACTAAATGCAATATTTAAACATAAAAGGGCATGAATTTAGTATGTGTAGTGTGTAAGGGTATAATTTTAAATAAATATTATGATTATGTTAATATTGATGGACGAAATGTTCTTTATTGTAATTTAATTCATATACAATAAAAATAAATATAGAGAATTTTAATTAATTTAATAGAGAGTTTACAATATTTTTATCCTACATAGTTATAATAATTAATAATAGAAACCTAAAACCAAATTTCAATGGTTCCTGTGGCGTACCTTTAATGCTGACAGCATTTTCTCAGTGTATTGGGACACTTATTCGTTGAGCGAGGAAAGCACCAGCTCTGGTTTCACCGGTACTATCTACCAGGCGCCAACTTAAATATTTAATTAAAGCCTTGTGTTCTTAAACCTCATGGCCCAAGAGACTCCAAAGGGAAAAAATCATTGTTGTAGGAAAGACTCTTTTAGCCGTTCAATATTTCCCGCCTGCCCTGTAGCGCCAGGCGCACATTAATGCATAGCTTTAACAATTGTTTTATTAAATATAAAAGTTTTTTAAAGTTATAATAATGTAATATGCTACAACTTTTATGTACGTATTAATTAGAGACAAGTTGTTTCGTATTCCGGAGACTGATCCAAGGACTGTCAAGAGAGCTTCAATTAAAATTTGCTTTAACATTTCTTGTGCTGAATTGTTTTCACTAAATAGTGAATCAGTTATTTAGTTTGCAGGCTACTATGATATTTTAATTTTATTTTTTGACTACACGAGCATATAAAATTATAACACAATAAAACTTCGAATAAAAATTACACACTGAAACGGCCCAATTGCTAATAAGTGATTGTCTCCAGTAAACCCGAATTCTCTCATATAAACCTCTCTCGTACCCTCTTGCTAAATCTAAAAATTTTCAGAGCTACAATGTCGCTCGTTCCACCCGGAGGCACGGACTCCCCAAGTCCACGTCGCGCCGTCAGCCCCTTGTTGGAGTCCCGAAGACCGCACTGTACTCTTGCGTGTGACTACTGTGCAGCTATACTAGAAGATAAGTTCAGGCGTAAGTGATTTTATTAATATCGTTTGAAACCTCTTTTCTATAGTTCTGTTGAAATTCAACAACTAATATGTGTAGTCTAGTATAGTGTCTCTGTATCTGTCGTCCTAGTATTTGCGATCTATGAAAGCAGGTTAACTTTGTCTTGCTATATTTAAATAAATGTTTTACGTTTGGAAAAATACGTCTTTGCAAAAAGAATTTTATGAACAACTCCGAGAATGTACAGAAAACAATTTTGTATGTCACTTACACTTGATATGCGAAAAGTGAAAAATAGTTCCGTTAAAATGTACATTTTAGAACTGTGTGAGCTTCTACCTTTTATTTAGGAGTTTCGTGTATTTATTGTACCGTTCATATAAACGACGAATTTATTAATCTGATCACTAAAATATTTTTTTTTGCAAATGAAACGTAAGTAATCAGTGGTTTTTTCCAGTGGTTGCCTGGAAGAGATCGCTCGAAAGCGATAAGGCCGCCAGTTGCCTTTCCTTTACATGTAATTATGTTAAATTTTTATATTATAATGCAAAGTGTAAATAAATAAATAATCGAAATACATTATGAGGGACTCTAAGTCCCTAAGAACTAATCATTAGCTTTTATGGCCCTCTGAGCCAATAAACCCATAAAAAATGTGTCGTTGAGTAACAAACCTAGGATATACAGTAGAACTATCTACAGAATTAGATGAGTTATACGCTACTAAACCAAAGAGAATGTAAGTTTTAGAAAATTTAAACGGTGACATTTTCAGTTTATTTGAAAATACATTTGCTAATAATTTCTGTTAATATTAACTATTTTGTTAGTATTATATTATTTAAAAAAAATAAGTGTAAGTAAGCAGTAGGAAGCGTTATGAAACTTTAACTTTAACTTCAGAAATAAATTAACTCCTGAAAATTTAGTAAACTTGTTTCGCTGAACTATCACTTGATTTGTAACCATTGGAACGTATCTGTAAATTATGTTTTAATATATATAATTTTGTATATAATAATTGTAGCTTGATCACTTGTAATTTAAAAACAAATATAAAGCATTTTTTAATTCAGTATAAATCAGATATTGTAAGAATAGAAAAAAGACAATTTAACTGCAAAAGTAGTTAAAACTTTACCTTTTTTATAACTCAATTTGTGTACCCTTTTCTGTTTATGCGAAAACAAAGTTACAGGCGCAGTAAATAATAGGGTAAATCCAATGTATTGAAGAAAATTTGTTGCGTCGCGATTCATATTCAATTGTTTTATTATATGTTATCATTAATATATTTCTTTACGAACATTTGTTTTTCTAGGTAATGCAGATATGCGCAACAGAGGCACTTCACCACTGTCAGTGTCACCAAGACAGTCGCTAACAGGCGAACCACCCTGGACTCTACCAGATGACGACCGCCCCGATTTCTCCGCGCTTAAAGAAAACATTCATAGGATCAATAAGTAAGAAAATTTATCCTCCTAATTCTTTTGTAGAATATGCCTGTAGTATTCTAAATATCAATATGACTAAATTGTTCCCAATTATATAGTAAAGTATCGTGAGAAAATCGGCTCAAAAAATCAATCCACGGTAAGGCGTAAATGGTAATCACCCTGCCATACTTGTCTAGAAAGGAATAATTAAAAAAAAAAGAAACCATCTAAGATCATAACAAGGGGCAGCATTTAACTAGATTCAGAGGGATTATTATTATAATTACATTGCTTATGTCAATGAAGTGTCGTGACAAATGATGCAATTTTAAATAAATTGGTTCTGTGCTGGAAATGCCTGTGGAAAAAGCACTCCAGCTTTTAAGGACACTTACTCTTAGCCGCTTCAGAATAAAGTTGAAGAATAAGGCCCTGAATGACGTACGAAGTCTTGAGAATGGACTTACTCACGTAAAGTAGATTTTCAAGACATCGTCATATTGTAAAGAAACGGTTTTATTATCATATAAAATGAATAAAATATTCGCACATTTTTTCACAATATAAATTCGAATAATCTGTTTGTTTTTAAACGGATCCTATTTAGAGTACTCTTTTAGGGACTGCGAAACCTCGACACGACTGGATACTTTGTTGACACAAGTTGAACAATATGCAAACAATTTAGAGACACTAGTGGAAGAAAGAACATCAGATTATTTAGAAGAAAAGAGGAAATGTGAGGAGCTACTTTACCAGTTACTACCCAAGTATGTATAACAATTGACATTGAGGTTAAGATTAAGATTCAAACATTAGCACTAAGTATGACCCCCGTATGTCAAATCAAATACCTACGCTTTTAGACTTACTAAGAGCGCGGCCACACGATGCGGTATCGGTGCGGGCGCGGCGCCGCACCGCTATTACTTCGAGCTATAGGGTGCCCACACGGGCGTGTGGCAATATATTTTACCACTCCCCGCCTCGTCTCGCAGGTCACAACTCCGGCGCACTTGCAGTAACGTGTCGTGTGACATGGTATAATAATTTGTATGTAGGATGACGTTGCGGCACCGCTCCGGCGCCGCACCGCACCGTTGCCGCATCGTGTGGCCGCGCTCTTAGCGCTAAGTCTTGACTGTGTTCGACTGCGACGTTCTGCATTTGAGTCATTTTTATTTAGGAAGCTTTGCACTACGAATAAAGTTTTTTTTTCTAAATTTCGTTTGAATTAGTGAAAGATGAAAAATTCATTAAAAAAACAAAGCCTCACGGCCATTTATTTCGCGCACACTAATCATTTTTTAGCATAATTAACCAAAAAAGCTTAAATTATTTACCCTAGAAACATCTTACTACATAAGTATGTTCAATTAAAATGTGTGTTGATATATTTATATTTGATGATAAGGATGAGGTAAACCTCATCTTAAAATAAAGTGTGTAAAACTTGTGTAAAGCTTTTCTGTATAGTGTTATCCAATAACGAAATATGTTTTATTAGTCCATTTTTCCAATTTCCGTTCGCCTAATCCCTGACATTTGTGAAGCGAGTACGTCAGTTGAGATGATATCTAATTTTGCTGACATAGACGGAGGTCCTAATCCAATGTACAGACCAACTTCGTGTTACAATAAATTGGCTCGCACAGTTTGAAAGCAATTTCCTTTTCATGCAGCTACCATTTAAAATTTCCTTACAATTTAGCGTTTTGGATGTAGTGAATGTCCAATGCCCCACAACAGGACATGCATAGGCAGCACCGGAAGTGGAGCAAATATTATAATGCGTTATAAAAATTACAATACATATTTGTTACCTATACCTAGTCCAGCCATAAGTTCTGTTATCAAAATGCATTTTTTTTATGAAGTAATGTAATATTGTTAAAATGTATACCTAAATATTTATTAGTCTCAGCAAAAAATAAAAAAATCTTCTATTCGAAATGGCCACCTTTGGCTTTTATACAGGACTAATCTGTTTGGCCACGAATCTATGGATTAACGCACTGTTTCCAAGGGAAATTTCGCTACTGCTTGCTCCAAAGATTTTTTAAGAGACTCAATGTCGCCGTGTCGTTTAGAGCAGTTCATGTCCTCTAAAACTGACCACAATTTGAAGAATAAAGGGTTGAGGCTGGGCTAGATGAGGGCCAGTCTTCAGCTCTTATAAAGTCCGGAACGTTGGTTTCAAGCCTGGCTTGGGTAGTTTTTGCCTTGTGATCAGGTATACTTGGCTTGAATAACAAAAGAGTATACGACAACTAAATTCATTATTAAATAACAAATGAGGTTTTTACGTTAGTTTTTAAAGACATTTATTTAATAAAAACAACCCTTGAACGTTTTAGCCACAGATACCTATGTATCTGTACTATACTATTATAGTGCCTAGTTGTATAAATGAAAATAAAACTTTTAAAAATAATTTTGTTACAACTTAAATATATGTTTCCCAGCATTAAAATAAACTACAATTAAATCGACAACACACTATAACGTATAACGTACAGTATATATCACATAAGTATATAAATACTTCCTTTTCCTTAAAGTAATGGCTACACGAATAGAGGACGAACGTGAAAAATGGTTTGCTAACTCAGGATAATTCCTTGCGGGCGTATAAACTACACAGGGTCTTTATTTGTTAGTAAAAAGACCCCCTGGAGACCTTTAACAAGAGAAGGAAATGGTAAGTTAGTGTGGCGACAAGAAATCTCGTAGTAAAAACAGTAGGATAAAATCATTGGCTGTTACGTCGTTTTTCTTTTAATATAAAAAAATTGGAGAGTTGTTGATGAGAAAACAGACTTTTGAGGTTTAGATTCTTGTTAATGACGTGTGGTCATCAATCTACTCTCTTGCTTAGTAGTGATGCAACTGTGGAGAAAGGAGGGTGTACTGTTCTCCTAACTTAAGGGAGCATTCTCGACCAGTCTAAGTCTAACCAATGACTGCCGAGTGCCGACCCGAAAGCCCCTGTGGCAGAGGCCGGAATAACTCCGTTAGCGCGTTTCGGGGCGTGATGACGTCATCGCAGTGATTTGTAAGCGCAGATTTTAGGTGTCGCTACGCTACTACTATATTTCTCGGGTGAACTTACATTACGTAATATATTTTCTTATTCAAGACGCGATCTAAACGCGCGGCTAAAATTACACATATTTTTAACTTTGTTGATGTTATTTCTTTGAAAAACTCAAGTAAATGCGTGGGCCATAAACTTAATTGTAATCATATTTCAAGAGATGAGATTCAAAGACGACCGAATTCAGGGATAAGCCGTATTCAAAGCATTCTTTTGTTTAAGCATCGCTAAGTCTGGCTTCTATTGTTTTTGCACGGATTACAAAGAAAACATTTTAGTAATCTGTGAAGCCAATTCGTTATAAATTATTAATTATTGCAAAAACATCAAAATCTAATAGAAGAGAGAAATTTAAATTTTAAATTTATATATTTATTTATTATTATAAATTTATTTAAGTACAATATGTTAATACGGGTTGCAGACTAAGAGCTAAGCTAAGTTAGTTTAGCTTAGCTCGCATAGCTGACGCAGTTTTCTATACATGTGTGCAGACCGCAAACTATGCGAACTAACTAAAATATGCGAAGCTAAGTTAGTTGTGTATGACGATGCGCAGCTACACGAACTAAGCTAAGCCCCTCCCGCTCACTGGATCGTCTTTTTCTTAAATAATAATAAGTCAGTATTAATCTTCTTTTTCTATGTGTAACGTATTCATCATCGGAACTTTCTTCATCGATTATATTTATGGCGAGCGACGTCCGTTAATTGAACTACGCAACACTGACTGAGCTTTGGCTTAGCTGTTAGTGTGCACGCTATTTATTTCTAGCTTAGCTTAGCCTAGCTTGCTTGGCATAGCTTAGTTTAGACTTGGCATAGCTTAGTTTTCGGTCTGCAACCGGCTTAAACATTACATCGAGTATCTGTATTTTTAATTACATGATTGTCCGTTTGGTGGAGCCAGATTCGCAGCTTAGTCTCGCTATTTCTCTAAAATATAAGTGATGGATTTTAACATACGGCAGCCATACTTCGTGCTAACTGCTAAGTATTCCGAAATTCACTCTAAGTCATACAGTTCTACCGTTCATAAATAAGTATACATTTATTTTAGCGTCTTTAATTACGAATTAAATTGTTAGTTGACTCTATCGTTCTATAACTACAATATTGTGCAGGTCAGTTGCGTCACAGCTAATAATGGGTCAACCAGTAATGGCGGAGACGTATGATCAAGTGACAATATACTTCAGCGACATCATTGGCTTCACACAATTATCGGCGGAGTCAACGCCACTTGAAGTTGTGGACCTACTTAACGATCTATACACCAGCTTCGATTCCATCATTGAGAACTTTGACGTCTATAAAGTAAGTTACTGTATATATGTTAACGTAAAATTGTAAACACCGTTAGATTGTAATCTATCTCGCGAGATTATAAACTGTCGAAAGATTGTGAACCTCAGCGTACTGCTTACAATTTAACGTATTATTATTCGGTAGATTGTAATCTATCGAAGTAAAACCGTCAAATTGTAAAACGGATCGCAACTCGCGCGCTGATTGGTTGAACGGAATATGCCCAACAATCTTTCGACAGTTTACAATCTCGCGAGATAGATTACAATCTAACGGTGTTTAAAATTTTACGGTGACATATACAGCCCTATTTATTAATGACAATACATACTAATTAATACTCTATTTAGTTTACGTGTTTAACGTCGTTAAAGTTCATTATTTATTTCAAGTTATGGAGTCACGTAATTTGTACAATTTTAAATTATGTCGCACAAGCAAGTCACATTTCTTTGCCTGCCTACTTTTGAAAAATATTTCACTATAACGTGGTAGAAAAAATCTTAATGTGGGTATTAAATATACATAAAGAATTGTATTTAAGGGATATAAACGCGATTTTTTTACATTAATTAAATTTTTCGACATTTAGAGTGCTTAAACTAAAGACTAAGGGGCGTAACTCGCGAGACGCGTAACACCATTCGTGAACTAGTTTATTGAAATTAATATATTGTATCTTTTTTTTTATTTGAGAGATAAAAAAGGCCCTGGACATAATGGCAGGGGAGTAGAGTATTATTAATAAAAAAAAACAAAGACTATATGTGCGTAGTCACCAAAAAAATATAATTAGTTGGGATGACAGTTCGTTTCTGTGATTATATTAAATGATCTAACGAACAGGCTTCTGTAGAACTGTATATAAAATGGTTTCGTTTCCTTACTTTAGGATGATAAAATATATACCACATATACTTATTTATAGGTAGAAACAATTGGCGATGCCTACATGGTAGTTTCCGGTCTGCCTATGCGCAATGGCAACAGACATGCAGCAGAAATCGCAAGAATGTCTTTAGCACTCCTGAATGCAGTCAGGGTAAAAACCGTACCACATCGACCTGGCGAAAGATTGCTTTTGAGGATTGGAATGCATACAGGTATATAGTAACTTTTTAAAATAAGAACGGCGAAAGAAAAACAACCAATGTCTGCGATATTATACATTGGGCGTGTTCGGCCGAAGTAAGTACTTACTAAACTTAGCAAGCCAGTAAGCATAAAAAAATTAAAGTCTTACAAGCTGACTGTAGCGCTTTTCGGCCAGGACAGACTTACTGGCTTATTAACATAACACAAAACACCGGTTTATGTCATATCCCGTACATAACCTCATAGACTGAATATAATTGACAGTACTAAATTTAGGAATATAATTTAATACCTGTGAATAGTTTCAAATGGATAATTTTATGAGAAATATTTTATTGGATATTTTATTGTCCGTTTTGTTTATATATTAATTTAATACCTGTGAATAGTTTCAAATGGATAATTTTATGAGAAATATTTTATTGGATATTTTATTGTCCGTTTTGTTTACATCAACAATAAGCAAAATGGCGTCGTATATTAAGCCATACTTACTGCGTTAGCACTTATTTTGTGTCCCGGCCGAAAATTTTGTAAGCATAGTAAGTGACTTACTAAATTTAGTAAGTACTTACTTCGGCCGAACACGCCCATTCATCCCAAAAACTGGTCTTTTCTCTCAACAGATTATTACTAGCCTTAAGTATTATATATTATAACCTTAAGACATTGATAATACTATTGTTTTTAAATAAATATATGACATTAACGTGTGGTTATAAACGAATCAATAATTCATTCCGTGTCCACAGGACCTTGTGTTGCCGGCGTTGTGGGTTTAAAAATGCCAAGATACTGCCTTTTTGGAGACACAGTAAATACTGCCTCAAGAATGGAATCTCACGGTGAAGCACTTAAAATCCACGTCAGCCCAAAAACTAAAGAGGTTTTAGACTTATATGATTGCTTTGATTTGGAATGCCGAGGAGAAATCACGATGAAGGTAATGCACTACACATTAGTTACCAATAATAATTATGTATCATACATATAATAAAACTAGTACAATAACGTTAAAGGTTTATTATGAACTGTGATTTTCTTTTCAATCAGGGTAAAGGGAAAATGACAACATATTGGTTGCGAGGCGAGAAGCATCAAAATGAAACACAATACGAGCAGACTAACAATGGAGACAATCCCATTATAAATCCGAGTATAACCTTTCAAGCGCCCGACAGTCCCGCGTCCCATTCCCAACATAGTAACAGCCCCAAACGGAACGGTACAAAGGAAACAAAGGATCGCGCTAAAACTGTTGAAATTTTGAATGAAAGAAATCGCATTAAGCACGAAATAGCTTCATTTGTTGCTAAAGATCTTATCAACAACATAGATACTGCCGTACGTGAAATAAAGCTGTCCCAAAGCGCAACTTTTAACACGCCTACAAATAAAATGTGTAATGGAAATGGAAAAGAGATGATAACACCGACGTATGATAAGGAACTCGTAATCAATAAAGGAAAGGTGAGAGATGTTGTGAACAGGTTTAATAGCACATCGACTGGAAATATTTCGAAAACAAAGGAAGATAAATAGACGGTCTAAAAGATACATTAGGGATTCAAGTATTATTAGATATATGATAGATTTATTGTTATTAATTGTAGTTTAAAATGACGTATTTCTGTGTAAAATTAATAGTAAATAGCTTCACATCCAGAGAGCGCAGAAATATTTTAAAACATCAAAAGTCTATGTTAAATTTTTGACCAATAACAATGAGCTCCCACATATATAAACCAATATATGTATATGGTATTAAAGTAGCGCAAAGCACCAAATCTAGTCAATATAATTTTAGATATTTCCTACATAGGCACTAAAATTTCTAATAGATAACAAATTGTGCGAATCCCATATAACTTATGGTGTTTCAGAAAGCTGTAGTGAGAAGTGTATTAAAATAATTGATTATGTATAGATATACTATTGTATTAGACCCGTAGAATTTCTACCAACCTTTGATATTTCTTTACATCTGTAAATAAGATTTCTAACGCCCAAAATGTATATAATGCATGGATATTTCACTGTTGGCAAAATCAATTTATTTGGAAACGGGCGAAAATATTTCATCAAAATCGTATTAATTTTCGTTAGACCTTAGATGATTTTTTAAATTATTATTTAGCCTCAAACTATTATATAGGTAAATAGCAATTTAGTTTTGTACGAAACAAACTGTACTGTTGATTCTTAAAATCTATTTATTAAACAATAATGCTTTGACCAGAAAAAAGCGATTTGCGAGTAACTAGAGTTTATGTAATGTTGACGAGTTTAGCCTGTTCTTTATTGTTAAATGAAATGATTTCCCTATACATTTACAAACTGGTAAATGTCATCTCCCGGCAGTTGTCTATTTGGGATCCAATAACACCCCAACAGTGCTAATAGACACTAGCCCTTTCTTTGTCTGTTTCATGATGTTTTAAGCAATATATTTCTATTAATCCGAAATCATTATTGATTCAATTTGAGGACTAGTTGCGATTTGCGTTATCATGACGTCTTTTACTTGACTTACATCAAAGAGCCCACGCAATGAATCTGCAGTTCATCCCATTGGGAAGTTATGGGATTGCAACTATGTAGTAGGAATATTTTTGTTAAGATAGTAATTAATTGCAATTGGATGTTTAAAGAGATATATACCTAAGTTAAATATCTTTTTACGTATTGTTTGTAACCTTCAGAAGGTCTTTCGGTACATGGCAAAAATACTATATGAAAACAGTGTTATTTCATTTCATCACCTATGTCTGTTTATGTATTGTATATAAGAGATGTTTTGTTAGATGTATAAGTATATAGATGTTTAGATGTTTGGTGATATTTAAATATTTATTTATATGTTGCGCTGTGAAAACCGTTACATAAGATATTATGTATTTGAAGTTCCTTCATGTCGAGCACAAATGGTCACATAGATATATAAATTATAATAAATATTATGCATATTATTGATTTTATTTATTTTGAACCAAGCGTCTTCAAAGTTATGAAAAATTTCATTATCGTATGTGTTCTATATCTCTTGAATCAATGGTAGGTAATTGCTACTGATGGTGATCGCAAAAAACGATTGTCTTTTGTTTCTATAGAAAAAAATCGACTCATAAAACCCGGGGTAGAACTACCCATTGGCAGTATCCTAATAATTATATTCGTATGATTATATTAAAATAATAACTAAGTTATTAATGTTTCGTGCCCTATGAAAGATGAAGTATGGATGGACCATCCATAAGGAGTGGAGATCCTTTCGATCACATCTGTTGTGTTTATTATAATTATATAATCTGGATATAATAGAGAGATTGGTTTTTTGATTGGAGGGTTGGTTAGCGAAGCGCCACTCACGCGAGTAATACACATATTAAACAGAAATTCTATCGAAGTAGACCTATTTGTTTGTACACTGGCTGAGTTCACAAGAGTTGCCTGCTTAGTTATAAGATCTAGGTATATTTATATTTTATAAATGTAGGAAAACCGGTATTGTCCTTCTATCGCATTAGTAGTAACCGTTAAGATATAATAATGATGTGGAAACAAATAAATAATTAAATGTATAGTAAAGTCGTTGGATTCAATTCTTGATGAAATTCTGTCGCAGCTTAGAAAACATAAAGGTACAACGGTGATCAAGATTTTTTTACCCCTAACTCTGTTTCGGGACTCCACTATATCTGTTGTTGTTGTGTTTACATTAACTCTACAGAAAGTGGCATTAATCCGTATATATTTATACATTATGAAGTGGAGAAGTCGGACAAATGATTTATGAGCGCTGTCACAAATCAATGCAGTTAACAGATTCACAAAAGCATACCCTTTTTGATTAATTTTTTAAATGTATTATATAAGAAAAGCGTGCGTGTACTTATGTACGCGCGTAAGAAGTTATACTTCTTTGGCATTATTTAAAATAGTTTTTGATTGCATGCAAATAATTAATTACAATTAATTAATCAAAGACTGGAAAAGGAGTCATTACAGTCAATAAAGTTCAGTTTACAATTGAAAAATTAAATAAATATATATTTATTATTATTCTCTTACATTAAGTGTAACATAAATTTTATTATTATTCGAATGTTGTTTTTAAATTATGTCCAATGCCGTAGCATCTTCTGTGGGCAACTTCATTCTGTTAATTTTGTGTCACGGTGCGCGCGCATCGTAAAATTTCACTCTCATCAATTTTTCATAACGCGCCTAAAGAAGTATAACTTCAAAAATACAGTTTCTTATGCTCTCAAACACCCACCAAGTTATGATATACGTAGGACAAGAGACACATGGGAACATACGAATCACTAACTAAAGGCTGTCTCTTCATCTGAGCAAAAAAAACAAGAGACGAACGTACTTTAGTCAAAAGTGTGCTCTTGGAATAACATATATAGCTACTTTTTGTGGTCAAAAAAGGACTTTACTTCTGATAGACCCATAGTCCGATCTGAGTCCAGACTCTGGCAAGTCAAGATTATAAGTAGAAATAATAATATATCGTTTGTTCTATAAAAAAAGCTTTTCCAACGATAATAGTTTTTTTTAAATCAAATTAAACTCGGATATAACTTTTGGCATTGCAGCGAAATAGAATGAAATGCTTTCTAGAAAACTAAAAGGAACGTCTCCCGAGGGATTACCGTGGTCTGCTAAGGCAAACCACAGTTTAAGGAAACCAGTTGATCTTAAAATAAACTTTGTTTCAGATAAATTTATTAATTGTATTATTTGTATTATCAACGCTGTGAATAAAATTCATCAAAATATCTTATTAATGACAATCTGTTAAACTCTAGTAACCATAGAGAGTTATATTTGAGTAATTGTATAAAACACATAATTAAGAACACGTGCATTCGACTAGAATAACAAAAAAGGAAAACGAACGTTTGGCTTACTGCTATTGATTTTATATAAACTGTGGACATAAGCTTGGTTTCTCAGATTATCTTTTGTTATATACAGTTCTGGATATTGGTCAAATTTAAAATTTAATCGATCCTTCATAACATTATAGTATAGAAAAACAATTGTGTAACGGATGGTAACACAATGTACGGATCAAATAGACACAAAAACAAAGCGAATCTAAGTTTTTATCAACTGCCAGTTCTCAGGAAGACTTGCTGCAGCTGAAAGCTAGCAATTGGTGCGAGGTGGCACAAGACAGGGCTAGATGTTTCTCATTTCGGGGGCACGCCTTTCTAGAAAGTTAAAAATAGATTAATCCTTTAAAAAGATACAGATTGTAGAAACACTGCGGTGTTAATAAAGATCAAGTTATTCATGAATGAGATATTTAAACAACTTCACATACCTTCACAAATCTTAGATGTGTGATGGCTAAATTCGGACGGAGGCACTGTTATATACCAAAACAAATCAAATCAAAATATCCATTACCCATGTAGATAACTCAATACATACTTATGAATGTCAGTAAACAATACTGCCAAAAACTTCTCCGTCACTTTTAAATCGACAATGTTCTTTTGTTTTTTGACGGTAGGGGTTCGCATAGGGGATTGAGTTGGCGAATTTCAACGTTGAGGTTGTGTGCCCAAATCCCAACTGTGCATTTGTGAATGCTTAACACTTCCTCATTTATCTGCTTATATATAAAAGAAAATCAGTCAAAGAAACAGAAGAGACATGAGCTAAGACCATAGGGCGTTATAGGTCTACTTTAGTGATAAGTGGTAGGTCAAAGGAAGAAACTCAATAGAGAATTTATTAACCACATTTAAAATCCTTTTATCACAATTTACGATTGAAAATCTGATGAGAGTTAAATGTATCGTGAGATTGTATTACAAGAGTGATAAACTGGAAATGACGTTATAAACTTTAGGCCGTAAACGAGTAACAAAGTTAAGCAATCTAGGTTACACGGTGACGTCATCGATCAACGCTGCTGTGACGCCACAGATATGATTAGCTTGGTTCTATTATTATTGAGTTATTTATGGAGATAGATAATTTTAGTATTCTTCTCTACTTCATTTATATAAAGTAAAGCATGTCTTTTAATAAAACATCTGTGTTCATGCAATTTACTGCTAGTTCGACTATTTATCATAACGCGATAAACATAGATAATATTTAACATAAAATATTCATAGACCTTTCAAACAAAACAGACTTTTCGTGGTCTCCTGGGTGAACTACACCGTGATGGCATCGGTGCAGTGCAAAGTACGCAAGTAAGGTGCAAATGTGTTGGCTAACCTATATTAAATAAAATAAAAACAGGAAGTCATAGTCTCAGAATGTTACAGTTGGGAGATCTTTGTATTAGTGCGCTTGCAGTCCACGGTATTCTTAGAGTTCGCCGCCAGCACCACATCTCAAAGGCATCAATCCTTTACCTTTCTCGAGCCAAGATAGTCCACGTTTCTACTCCATACAGGAAGATAGGGAATACTAGAGTAATCAGTCTTATTTTGGTTTTGATACCAACTCCTCTTTCCTTCCAGATGTTGCCAAACGTGTCATGGTAGCCATGGCAATTCGGCTTT